TCAGCCTCAGCCTCAGCCTCAGCCTCAGCCTGCCTCAGCCTCAGCCTGCCTCAGCCTCAGCCTCAGCCTGCCTCAGCATCAGCCTGCCTCAGCTCAGCCTCAGCCTCAGCCTCAGCCTCAGCCTCAGCCTCAGCCTGCCTCAGCCTCTGCCTCAGCCTCAGCATCAGCCTGCCTCAGCCTCAGCCTCAGCCTCAGCCTCAGCCTGCAGCCTGCCTCAGCCTCAGCCTCAGCCTCAGCCTCAGCCTCATCAGCCTCAGCCTCAGCCTGCCTCAGCCTCAGCCTCAGCCTCAGCCTGCCTCAGCCTCAGCCAGCCTCATCAGCAGCCTCAGCCTGCCTGCCTCAGCCTCATCAGCCTCAGCATCACCATCAGCCTCTGCATCAGCATCAGGATTGGCCAGCGGGAATGGAGTTCCTCCTACAGTTGGCTCCGGGCATTCAAAATGTGGCCCGGGAATGGAGTTCTGGGAACTCGAAGAGCACGAAGTGGCCTACAGTTGGCTCCGGGCATTCAAAATGTGGCCCGGGAATGGAGTTCTGGGAACTCGAAGAGCACGAAGTGGCCTACAGTTGGCTCCGGGCATTCAAAATGTGGCCCGGGAATGGAGTTCTGGGAAGTCGAAGAGCACGAAGTGGCCTACAGTTGGCTCCGGGCATTCAGAATGTGGCCCGGGAATGGAGTTCTGGGAGGTCGAAGAGCACGAAGTGTGTGACTGTTTGCGAAAAACGAGTTCGGTTGCGAGTTCGGACACAGCTCCCCGGATGCCGCCCAGACCCCCCTGTGGAGTCATCTGCTGCTCTCTTTTGACACCACTAGAAACCTATCAGTCTTCGCTGTTAGGTAAAAACAGAAAGCACACCCTCAAAATATGCACGAATGATCAGAAATAGTAGAAAAGTCGTCCCCCGAGTATTTTTCACTATTTTCGAATCTGCCTCCTGTAGAGGGACAGGCCCGACTTCACACTTTGTGTGCGGCGGACCAGGAGAGGATGGCGGCATGGCGGCTCCCGGCAGGCGGCGTGGCGGCGGGGGGGGGGGCGGCGGCATCCAGTGGCGACGGCGGCAAAGGCAGCCCTGGCCCGGAGCCCGTGGCCAAATTTCAGAGGCCGATGGGCGGAGGGCGAGCGCCAGGGAGAGGAGAGGTCGGCCTGGGTGGACGCGGCGATCGCGCTGCAGGAGATGAGCCTCCGCCAGGACCGGAGAGGCCGAGAGCACGGATCGATGTTGTGCCAGTTCTTGCTGCTCGCGAAGACGTGCGCAGTGGCGAGGGCAAGCCTCGAGGCAGGCGTCGAGTAAAGCAACGAGGCCCAATGGCGAGGGCGTGGACACGGACTAGGAGCACCACACACACATGCATGTCGCAGCGGCGGTTGTGGAAGCGCTGGAGAAGGTCGCCACGGTGCCGTACAAGGACACGCTCACGGCGTACATGAAGCTGATCAACAGCCCAGCAGGAGCTTCCGCTTGAAGGAGGCGTACAGCGAGGACGGAGCGGAGGAGAACGACATTAAGGTGAAGGTGACGTACCAGGTGAACCCCCTCGCAGACATGGAGAAGGTGCAGCTGAAGACGCAGCACGTGCTCGACAACGTTCCTCCAGTCCTGGCTCTTCGTCGGGCCATGTATGCCACGTTCCTGTCGCTGGGAGACGAGGAGGGACAAAGAAGACCAGCGCCCAAGGACGAACTGACGAAGGTTACAGAGCGCCAGCTGAGGGGCCTGCAGGCAGGGAAAGTGTGATGACCCGTCAAAGTGAGATGGCGGCGAGCAATCCAGCTATGATGGAAAACCTTAGAAGGATGGCAGGTGCAGGTAGTATGTATGTTAGACTGATGTCAGCAATAGCAGAGCGGCGTAGGCAGCAGCGTCAAGGAGAGGCCGCGCCTAGGTAGGTAGGTGGGGCCGAGAGACACCGTTTCTGTTAGCAGGGGCAATCGGAATGGGGACGCCCTCCCAGCGCAACCATTCGCTCACTCACTCACTCACTCACTCACTCACTCACTCACTCACTCACTCACTCACTCCTCCTCCTCATCCTCCTGTACTGAACCCTCCCAACCTAACCCGAAAACCTAAAGTTCGGGTTGGGGAGGGGTACGGGGTCCACATGTGTTTTGCTCCATGTTCTCCGACGCCCCACCTACTGGAAACGGAGTGCAATTTGGGGCCTCCTGGTTGGGTCGGGGTAATGTGGAGGGTGGTGATGTACCTCCCCCCCGCCCTTCCTCCCCCCTCCTCCCCCCCATCGGATGGCTCCTCCCCAGCCCCCTCCTATCCAAGCAAGGACGGCGACGACAAGCATGAGAATTACGACGGCAGTGACGGCGGCGGCGACGACGTCATCGAAACCAGCGGAGGTGAGGGGGAACGATAGGGGGGACCGGCTCGCGATGGGCCTCCTCTGATCCGCGAATCCACGAGTTTCTGGGCGGGGTGCGCTGCCAGGGCGACTGCAGCAAGAACAAACAAACATAAACATAAATCGTCGGAGCTCCAAGCGGATTTCGTGGATCGGCGTTGGAGACGCCGTAAGCGAGGAGGAGGAGGGAGGAGGAGGGGGAGGAGGAGGAGGAGGAGGAGGAGCAGCGCAGATCCAAGAGATCCGCGCGGACCAACGAAAGCTTATGCTTAAGCAAGTGTCTCTTTGGGGGGGCTCATGCGTCCCCCTCCCGAGTCCCTCCGCCCCTCCCCGCATCCCCCCCCCCTGCTGCACTGCATCCCTCCCTCCTCCCTTCTCCCTCCTCGTTCTCCCTCCCTCCTCCCTCCCCCCTCCTCGTTCTCCTCCTCCCTCCCACCCCCCATCCCTCCCGCCTCCCTCCCCCCCTCCTCCCTCCCTCCTCCCTCCTCTCTCCCTCCCTGCATCCTTCCCTCCTCCCTCCTCGTTCTCCTCCCCCCGGCGGCGGGCGAGGTGGGGGGGAAAACGAGAGAGAGAGAGAGAGAGCGAGGCCAATGAGAGGGCGGCGGGGGCCTCTCGGAAGCCCTCGCGCTCTCCGAGAAATTGCCCCGCGTTCTCGGGCAAGGGTCAGGCCGGGCATGCCCCGCTGCAGGCGGATTTGGGCGAAACATACGAGACAGCCATAACAAATAAATGAACCTGCCATGTCAAGAGCAGTAGAAACATCGTCCCCAGACTATCGGTTGACTGTTTTTGACTCTTCTTCCTCTGCAGGGACAGGCCCGACTTCAGGCAAGGAACACCTTCTCCGAAGGAAGGAGGACCTCCGCGCCTTCTGGGAAGGCCCCCCCCCCTCCCACTCCCCTCCCCCTCAGGAGCCAGGCGGTGGCTGGCAAATCCGTGGCTGCTGAAACGGAGCTTCGGGGCATTGTTATATTTTTCTTCTGAGAAGCACTCCGTTCACTACAGTCAACTCGTATAGCAAGGATGCGCGATAAGGATGCAAGGGCCTTGGGAACCCATCTCGAAGCTTCCCGACCGGGGCACGGCCAGAGAACGTGGCCAAAGATGGGCCGAAGGGACAAGGATGCAAGGGCGTCCTTGGGAAGTTTGCCCGTCCTCACTATGCGGGCTGCATTCTGGGAACTTGCTTCTCTCCTTCCGGGAAGACCGTCTTAGCAATGTGTCGGGCCTGTCCCCCTACAGGGGGATTTTCGGCGAGAAAAAAGACATCCCCAAGGGTACCCCAAAAGGGCAAACAAATGCTCAAAAAATAGTCCCCAGACTATTTTTGGGCTATTTCTTGAATGATTTTTGGGGGGCATTCTTTCTTTGTCGTCGAAAGTCCCCCTGTAGGGGGACAGGCCCGACCTAATTTTAGCAGCCACAGACTTGCCAGCCCTCGCCCAGCCTCCGACACCCCCCCCCCCCGGGGGGCGCGCCGGCCGCCGATCCCTTGCCTCCTTCCTCGCTCGGTGCCTCCTGGAGGGCCCCTCCGCCTCCTCTCTCGCCTGCCCCTCCCTGCCTCGCGCCCACCTCCCTCCCCTCCCCTCCCCTCCCCGTCCCTCCCTCCTCCTCTCCCCTCCCTCCCTCCCTCCCCTCCCTCCCTCCTCCTCCCCTCCCCAGCACTCCTCCCTCCCTCCTCCCCTCCCCCACCTTTCCCGCCCTCCTCTCCCCCCCCCCTCCCTCCCTCCCTCCCTCCCTTCCCTCCCCTCCCTCCCCACCCTCCTTCCCTCGCGCCTTCCCCCCTTTTGAAGTGCTTTCTGAAGGACCCCCTGGGGCACGCAAACAATTCGACGCACAAGTCCAGGGATCCCCCTGTGCTGTGCCATACCTTCTGGAACTTCGTCTCCCCATCCACTAGCCATACTTTCCCATCGCCTCCTGGGAATCGTCAACGTTTATTTGTGTCTGTGCGTCTTTGTCTGTCCTTTTGATTCTACCCCCCCCCACCCTACGCTGCCGCCGAGGAGGGCCGAGCCCCCGGCCCGCGGGCGAGCGGCGCCGGAGGCGGGGCCAGGCGATCCCCAGGATGTTCCTCCTCGAGGGCCCTCGCCGGGGAAAAAAAAGTGCACACGTCCGAGCGATGCCCCACCCCTCCGACCCTGACCTTCCAAAGAGCTATGCTTTAGCACTGGAGGCCTAAAAACCTAAAACACTGAACGGAACATCCAACAACCAAAACGTATCATAACTTTGGGATACGTTTTTACTGGGCGCCCGAGTTATCTGGGGCAGCTCGGGCCTGGGGCAACTCGGGCCTGGGTTCCCGAAAAACGAACCCGAGTTAGCCCTGACCCGAATGACCCCTGAAGATCCGGCGCTCCGATTTTTTGAGTCCGGTGCTGTTTGTTGCTGCCCTCGTGGAAGGTCCGGGGATGCTGCCCCGCAGGATGACGAACCAACAACACACACCCATACCCATAGGGGGTCGGAAAGGGCTATGGGTGCGTGTTGTCGGATGGAGGTCCCCGCTCGAACGGGAGCGCTCCCTAGGGTCCGACAGCCCGCACCCATACCCATAGCCAGCCCTCCTCCTAACGACCCCCTTTATGGGTATGGGTGTGTGTCGTTCGTTCGTCGCAGGGGGGGCCGAGCCCCTGGCCTGCGGGCGGGCGGCTCGCAGCCAGGCCCCTCCTTCGCCATGGCGGCGCCCCCCGCGCGGAAGGGGCGCGGGGCGGGCGCCGAGGGGCGGCCCGCTGCCGCGGCAGGCGTCCGAAGCTCGCAGCCCCGCCGCGAGAGAGGACTGAGGGTCGGCGCCGGGCGAGGGGGGCAAGCGAGGAGGAGAAGGCCCCCTCGCAGAAGGCGGCGGGGCTCCTCAGGAGCCCTCAGGCGCCGTCCGCGAAGCTTGCTGCCTCTTCTGGGGAGGCTCGGAGAACTTCTCCGAAGGCTGGGGGACTTCTGGGCCTTCTGAGAAGGCCCGCACCCTCTCACTTCCCCTAAGGGCTCGCCGCCGAAGGACTAGCACGCCGCAATTGCGGATAAGAATGAGGGGGCGGGCGCGGGGCGGGTCGCGATGGGTCGCGGGTGGGTCGCGGGTGGGACGCGGGTGGGTCGCGGGTGGGTCGCGGGCGGGTCGCGGGTGGGTCGTGGGCGGGTCGGGGGCGGGGTGGCGAATTTGACGACAACAACAACAGCAACAACAACAACAACAGCAGCAGCAACAGCAACAGCAACAGCAACAGCCACAACACCAGCAACAACAATAACAACAACACCAACAACAACAACAACAACAACAGCAGCAACAACAACACCAACACCAACAACACCAACAACAACACCAACACCAACAACAACAGCAACAACAACAGCAGCAGCAACAACAGCAACAACAACAACAACAACAACATCAACAACAACAACAACAACAACACCAACAACAACAACAACAACAACAACAACAACAACAACGACAACAAAAAACAGCAGCAGCAACAACAACAACAACCACAACACCAGCAACACCAACACCAACAACAACAACAGCAACAACAACAACAACAACAACATCAACACCACCAACAACAACAACCACACCAGCAGCAGCAACACCACCACCAACAACAACAACATCAGCATCAACAACAACAGCCACAACACCAACAGCAACAACAACAACACCAGCAACAACAGCAACACCAACACCAATACCAACACCAACAACAACAACACCAACAACAACAACAACAACACAAACATCAACACCAACACCAACACCACGACCACCACCAACAACAACACCAACAGCAACAACACCAACCGCAACAACAACAGCAACAACAGCACCAACAGCAACACCAACCATACAACAACAACGACACTGACAACGACAACAGCAACATCAACAACAACAGCAACAACACCAACACCACCAACAGCAACAACAACATCACCAACAGCAACAACAACAGCAACATCAGCAACGCCAGCAACAATAACAACACCACCAACTACAACAGCAACACCACCAACAACAACAACATCAGCATCGCCACCAACAACAACCATCAATTTAAGACTGGTCGCTATTATCTGCTCGAGTTTCCGTGACCGCGAATTTCCTAAACCCTCGGCACCCGCCCTCTTCGTCTTCGATCGTACCCCTTTTGGGGGGTATACTTTTCTTCCCTGCAGGCCAACCCAAGCAAGCGGCGGGGCGACCGCGGACCGTCGTCCTGGCCAGCGGCAGCGCTGATCGGCAGCAACCCTACCCCAAGAGGAACGGACAGGGGACCGATCACGACGACGACGACGTCGACGACGACGGCGACGACGACCAGCGAATGCGACAGCTAGAGAGAGAACGACAGCAGGGCCACGAAAGGCACGAAGTAGGCAACGAAGGGCGACAGCGGGGACACGACGGGAATGCGTATGGGGCCATGAAGAGCGCGAACGAACGGGGGCCACGAATGGCAGATGATGCGGGGCCACAGAAGGCAACGACGAGGCCACTGAGGGTAGCAACTGGGCCACGTAGGACAGCGCGGGGGCCACAGAGGGCGACAGCGGGGCCACGAAGGGCATGCACATCGGGCCACGACGGGCGCGAACGAAGGGGGGTCACGAAGGGCAAACGTATATTGGCCACGAGGGGCTGCGAGGGGGCCACGAAGGGCGAGAGCGGGCCAAGAAGGGCATGCATATGGGGTCACGACGGGCGCGAAGGAGCGGGGGCCACGAACGGCACACATAGATGGGGCCACGAAGGACAGCGAGGGGGCCGCGAAGGGCTGCAACGGGGCCACGAAGGGCAGCGAGGGGGCCACGAAGGGCTGCAACGGGGCCACAAAGGGCAGCGAGGGGGCCACGAAGGGCTACAACGTGGCCACGAAAGGCAGCGAGGGGGCCACGAAGGGATACAACGTGGCCACGAAAGGCAGCGAGGGGGCCACGAAGGGCTGCCACGGGGCCACGAAGGGCAGCGAGGGGGCCACGAAGGGCTGCAACGGGGCCACGAGGGGCTGCGAGGGGGCCACGAAGGGCTGCAACGGGGCCACTGAGGGCAGCGAGGGGGCCACGAAGGGCTGCCACGGGGCCACGAAGGGCAGCGAGATCCCGATTCCCAAATAATCTTTGAGGGAGTCCTAAGCGTGAGCGCGACTCCTGGGTGAGTAAGTGTCGGGAGCGCGGCGCTTGAGTAAATTGCGGAAACTTCCAACGCAAGGGCGCTATCCTGAAGTAAATTGCAAGCAAAACTCAAGCGAGACGCGCCGTGTAAGGAAGTCCCAAGCGAGAGCGCGATTCCTGAACAAAATGCGAGGACGTCTCGGGCGGGAGCGGGGGTCCTGGCTAAATTGTGAGGACATCTCAAGCGGGAGCCGTTGTTCTTGTAACCCAAGGGCCAACAACGCAGTTTGAGGAGGAATACTTTCCCTGATAACAGAAAAACATGGTGCGAGCGCCGGGAGGGCACTTCAATTGAAAAACACAATGTGCATCGGGGGGATCAACACAATTTTTCTTCAGTAGTGAAAGTTCAACAACAACGACGGCGACAACAACAACAACAACAACAACAACAACAACAACAATTACTAGCACGTGGGGACACACCGTTCTCACCAGTGCCAGGGTTTTCATAGGAGGCGGGCAATACCCCCACTTTGTGGGGGGGCCGGTTCAAGCTCTACCAAATTTCCAAACGACTCTTCGCCACCACCCACACCCAGCTTCCCGCCCTATGACGTTCGGACACTTCACTTCGTGGCATGCGGACGACCGTGGCTACTATTCAGGGCCCCGCGGCCGACGACGACGGCGTGCGCGCGCGAAGAAAAAACGAATGTGTCCCGCATGGTATTATTTGACAGGGATGATGGCCCTGGCAGGTGCGCAACCGTTGTTGCAGAAGTTCGAAAAAGTTGCTCGCAAAAGCCCGTTTGACAGAAATGTTTAAAAAGTGTTGGGTTTCCTACGAATCCGCAAGAGCGCGCGGGATGAAATTTTGACATTTTTTTTTGAAAAACCATTGGTTTTTTGATGTTTTTATGTTAAAATCGCTACGAAAACTAAGGTTTTGGAAGGATTTCGTCTTGCGCGCGCGAATGTCCACTTTACCTTATTTTTTGCAAGGGATTCTTGAAGTTTGGTTATGTTAGAACAAGAAATGTCCACTTTAGCTTATTTTTTGCAAGGGAAAACCGATCGTAACAACACAACCGGATCCGGACCAACCCGTTTTGCCTGAGACTTCCTCACGAAAATGATGAAAATGAGGCTGCGGCCTAGGCGCGGCGGGGGGGTCGTGCACCAGGGGCCCCAACAATAATTATTCTTAGAAGAAATAATGTTCAACAACAACAACAACAACAACAACAACAACAACAACAACAACAACAATCATTTTACCCGAACGCGTGGTGTTCTCCCCAGTGCCAGGGTTTTCATACGACACCAGGCAATACCCCCACTTCGTGGGGGGGCATTACAAGCTCTACCAAATATCCAAACGACTCTTCGCGACCACCCAAACCCAGCTTCCCGCCCTATGACGTTGGGACACTTCACTTCGTGGCGTGCGGACGACCGTGGCTACTACACTGGCGTGGGGTACACACCCACAGAACCCAATGGTTTTTGGAGATTTCGGCGTGCGCGCGCGAAGAAAAAACGAATGTGTCCCGCATGGTATTATTTGACAGGGATGATGGCCCTGGCAGGTGCGCAACCGTTGTCGCAGAAGTTCGAAAAAGTTGCTCGCAAAAGCCCGTTTGACAGAAATGTTTAAAAAGTGTTGGGTTTCCTACGAATCCGCAAGAGCGCGCGGGATGAGATTTTGACATTTTTTTGTTGAAAAACCATTGGTTTTTTGATGTTTTTATGTTAAAATCGCTCCGAACACTAAGCTTTTGGAAGGATTTCGTCTTGCGCGCGCGAATGTCCACTTTACCTTATTTTTTGCAAGGGATTCTTGAAATTTGATTATATTAGAACAAGAAATTTCATTTTATAGTGTTTTTTGCAAGGGAAAGCGGATTACAACAAAACAACCGGATCTTGATCAACTCGAATTACCTGAGGCTTCCTCACGAAAATGATGAAAACGTGGCTGCGGCCTAGGCGCGGCGGGGGGGGCGCGCACCAGGGGGCCCAACAATAATTATTCTTTAGAATTAATAATGTTCAACAACAACAACAACAACAATACCAACAACAACAACAACAACAACAACAACAACAACAGCAAGTTCAACAACAACATAATCCGCACCGCAGAACCCCACTTCAGCCACACACCCAGGAACAATGAATGACCATTCGGCCCCTTCACTCTCCGGAGTCCCAGGCTTCCACATGTTTCAATTTCCTGGATGTTGGTCTTCTTCTCCGCTTCCCATATTTTCCGTATACAGGGTAAACACACAGACGCGCACACAAATACACACACACACACTGCGCTAACACATGCCCTGAGAAACATCAACAAGGAGGAAGAGGAGGAGGAGGAGGAGGAGGAGGAGGATCGAGGAGGAGGCGGAGGAGCAAATCGTGTTTCCAGGAGCTCGTGCTGGCGGGGGCAGTGGGCTCAAAGGACGCCCCTGGGCCAGCTCGTGGAGCTCCCGAACACACTTGGGAACCTTCTGGGACCTCCAGCCCGAGAGGGCCCCGTGGCGGAGCGTGCAGCGAGGGCGATGGGGCTGGCGCTCTGAATGGGGGCGCCCTGCTTCGCAGAGGGCGCGGGGTGCGTGGGGCTTTCTAGGGGGCCATCTCTCTCCAGCGAGGCCCCCGCGTCTCCTCCGCAGGCCTCGCTCCTGTCGCTCGCCGCCAGGTCCATCTGGCCGACGGGAGCCAAACGGGAGGACCCAGGCAACGACCCACCGCCGACACGTCGACGACCATACCCCCGACAGCGAACCCGCACGCCGCCCTGACAAGCGGGCGGCGCCAAAGCTCCGATGGGCGGTACACGGGCGACTGAGGGGCAGATGATTCCACTCGTGAGCCAGTCCCTCGGGGATGGACAGAAACGCCTCAGTAAAACATGGTTTAGTGAAAACGACCTCGGGCCCAAACCTGGCGGGCGCAAGCCTGCGAAACGACGGCCGCGGCGGCATCTCGAGAACCGAAAACGGACAATTGACCAATCGACGTGTCGCGGTGGGGGTTCTGTCCATCCCCGACTCCCCCGCCCCCAAACCATGCGCTGCATTCCTAGGAGAGCCCGTGTGCCCCTTCGCGCCGCTCTCCGCGTCGAGTCCGCGTCCAATCCATGACGAGCGCGAATCGAGCCCGAAACTCGGGTCGGGCGAAAGGGTGGGATAGCAAAAAGGGGGTTTGACAATCAGCTCATGTAGCTGATTTTCCCGGCGCCTCCCAGCGCCGGAAGCGGCTATGTATCGAGGAATGGGCCCCTCAGTGTGGCCGAAACCAGCTGCATGCAGCACCGTTCGTAACCCCCCCTTTCCCAATCCCCCGCTTTCGCCCGGCCCGAACAACGCATCCACGCCGGATCCGCGCCGAGCACGCGGCCGGACATGAAGAAAGCCAGCACCACAAAAAGCAGGACACGCGAGGCCCCCCCGATGATGCAGCGTGAGAGAGCGCCCACATCCCAGCTTCCCTCCCGAACCAGCCCTCGGGGGCCCCCACACGGGATGGTGACCACACCGTGTGGCGTCGGTGGGAGTCGGGGCCACCGCACGGTCTTGGGGCTCGGGTCGTTCTCCGCGGGCGTCTCGGGCGACTGGGGCATCCGAGGTCCCCAGACCGCGCGCTGACGGACCGTGCGGTGAGGTCTTGGGGGATTTCGAGGCCACCGCACGGTCTGTCACCGCACCGTTTCGGGACTCCAAAAACCCTCCCGCCCCGCGACCACATGGGCGCAGTCCGGGACGGCCCGAAAGCCGCCTGGAGTCCCTGCGGCGATTCTCTTCAGACCTCTGGGGCGGCCAAGACAAGAACATGCAAGCACGTTGCATAGAAGTCAAAAACCCACCCCCATAATAACCACCCCGACACGCGACGTCGTTTAGCAAACGCGCCCAAAGAAGGCATCAAACAGGGCAGGGCTGTTTAGTAAACGCCCAAGGCCGTTTAGTAAACGCCAATTGTCCGATCCGGGTGTTTTTTCCTCCCTCGTCCTCGTCCTCGTCCTCGTCCTCCGGGTTGACGGCCGCGAACGGCCCCCGGGCCGGCAGGGAAAAACCTCCCGAGACGGCGCATTGGACCCCACACGAAAATTAGAGAATGATGGCCCCCGTGGGAGTGGAAGAAGCGGAGGGTCACACACCCGATCGATACCCCAAACAACGACAGAAACACTGAAACCCACCCCAGAAAGACAACCAAACATCCGTCATTTAGGGTATATGCTACTCCACTTCCGCCACCCACCCCCCCGCGACCAGGCCAGCCCGCTGCCCCACCCCCCTATGCGTTCCAGCAACAACCCCCGCCGCGAAGGAGTTTGGGGGGATCACGCAGCCAGAGGAATCCGGCGCCGGGCGCAGTGAGTTTGCTCCCCCCAGATGGTCCTTAAAGAAGGCCATCGGCGCTGGGGCCATCGGCCCGGAAGCGCGGCAAAACGAACGCTCAAGCTGGGCTGTCCGTAACGCTGGAACCAAGGAGGGTGGACGCGGGACTAGCGCAGGCCGCGACACCGTTGTGCCCCAACTCACTTCTTTGCGCGTCGTCGATGCGCAGGGGCCAGACTAATCTATTGAGACACGCAGTCACACACTAATTCACAATATCATATGTTGGGTGCTTCGTTGTTGGGTTTCCAGTGCGCACGTTGAAGATCGCACCTGATTCACCGAACTGCCTCAACCGGCTACTTAGGGTCCACTACGGGCACCACATCGGAAGCACACGAACACTTAGACAGAAGAAGCCGGGTCGCCTGGACCATGGGCACCCCCGGCCTGCCCCCCGGATGGGGCCGAGAGGGAAAGAGCCGTAGCCCCAACCGCCCTCTCTGGCATGGAATCCGGGGAGGTTTGAGCAGTCCCGCCCCCGCACTCACAATAAGACCAGGAGAAGGGACGATCACAATGTGGCACTATCCGCCAGCGCCCGAACATACAGCACAAGTCCCCTCCCCGAGCATTACCCGTTAGGGGGCGCCCTCCTGGGGAGGGCGTGGGTTAGCCGTACCCCTTGGGGGATACGTTGCCCCTGACGCGGCCGCTCAGCCACCGGGGGATCAACAGCGCGGCCGCCAAACCGAACCCCTGGCCCCCGCACCCCTCCAGGAGAAGGAGGGGGAGGAGGGGAGAGAGGAGGAAAGGGAAAGGAGGAGGGGGAAGAGGGGGAGGGGGACACAACGAGGGCCGGGGGGGGGGGTGATACGGCCGCCTTGTCAACCCCCCAAACGCATCGACTTATACTCCTGACTGTGAGAACCGTTGACAGGCCGAGACTCGTGGAGGCCTCTGCTCATCGTCCTTGAACTCGTCCTCAAGCATCTTGTAGAAGTGATTGAAGACAGCATTAGCGGTCCACCATGCCCTGGGAGCGTGAAATTCCGACGTCACTATGTAGAACTTGCCCGTGCCTGGAGGGATCCACCGCGTGGCAAACCAGCAGTTCTCCGCAGTGGTGAAACTCCTGGGTCCCGGCCGCAATCATCGCTATACCGACACTGTTCGCGGACGGCTGTGAAAGCTGCCGGCACATCAACTGACATCATATCAATCGATTAAACAATATCAATGCTTGGCTCCGCCGAATATGTAAAATACACCTGAACCATGATACCTGGACAGGGGGTGGAAGAGGAGCGGAGGGCGGAAAGAAGGAGGCGGAAACGCAAACACCGAGGTTGCGCGTTCCCCCACAAACGGGATCGCGGTTGAGACCCGCGCTGCTACCGGCAGCGTTTTGTTGGCCAGCAACGTCCACACCGCACGGGAGGCGACTTAAGAAAGACACGCACACGGGGGCGGCAAGGTCTGCCTCTCCGCTTGAACCTATCCTTGCGGCGCACGGGGGCAAGAAAGGAAAAGAGATCGGCCTTGCCGGAGGCCGACGCGCGCGTGCAATCCGTGGCGCTGAGCACTTCCGTCTGGGAAAAAAAAACGTGTTCGACACGAGAACGGAGAGCGGCTCAGGTAAGACGGCCCCACAGACTCCTACTTCTCCACGTCCGACTCCTCTTCGTCCTCGTCAGACTCTCCCGCCTGTCCGCACAGCTCCACATCCTCGTGCGTCTGGACGTATATGAGCGCGGCGACGCCCGCGCCGGCCAGCTCGAACACGGTGTAAAGAGCTGCTGTCACTCCGAACTTGAACCCACCGATCGCGAAAGTCCCAATGGACACGGCAGGGTTAAAGCTGCCGCCCGAGATGCTACCGATCGCGAACCCCCCCACGACGATGCATGACCCGATGGCGAGCCCGTATACCTGCGAGTAGTTCTTGCCCTCCGCACTGGGTGAGCAGGCGACGCTGATGACGACGAAACAGAGAACGAACGTGAAGAAGGCCTCGGCCACTGCCACCTCGGGAAGGCCGAACGGATCGTTGGGGCCGAGGGCGAAACTCTTCCCTCCGTATATGATCGAGTAAGTGAAGCCTGCCACGAGTGCGGCGCACACCTGGACAAGCATGTAGACGACGGCCTCCTTCGCCTTGATCTTCCCGATCGCCAAGATCGAGATAGTTACAGCCGGGTTGAAGTGCGCCCCCGACACGTCGCCAAGGGAGAAGACCATGACCATGAGCGACGCCGCGATGGAGAAAGGCGCGGCGGGGGAGGCCGCCAGGACGTTGAGGCCGACCGTGAGCACGAGCATGTAGGTCCCGGGCGCCTCCGAGATCACCTTGGCTTTCATCTCGGCTCCGCTCTCCCCATCTTCAAACGCATCGGGCTGCACCTGCTTGAACAGAAATGCCGCCAGCGCACCGACCACAAACTCGAAAGCGGCGTACACGGGGAACTAGCTCAGGCTGCCGGGGCTGTGGTTGCCGCCCGTGTAGACGCCGAACGCCACGGCGGGGTTGAAGCAGCCCCCGGAGACAGCGCCCGCCCCGAACGCGCCCGCCACGATCACGAGGCCGATCGAGAGGCCGTAGAACTGAGAGCTCGCGTTCGCCGCGGCGCAGGCAGCATTTAGAACGACAAAGCAGAGCATGAACGTGTACACGAGCTCACACACGCCCGCCTGCCACCACTCGAAGCCATCCGCGGGCCCGAGGGCGAGGGCAAACTCCGAGCTCTTGAAGATCGCGCGGGCGAGGATGCCCGCCAGCGCGCCCGCCAACGTCTGCACCAACGAGTAGAGGAAGACGTCAGCCCAGGGCAACTTGCCGACGAGGCCGAGCGTGACAGACACAGCGGGGTTGAAGTTCGCCCCACGGTCATCGCGCTACGGCAGGTTCGCGTCGCGCCGACTTCGGCGCTGGTTTCTGACACCGCGGGGATCGTCCCACCTGGAACGATCGGCCGTTTCCGAAGCGTCCAAATCGGTCCACATTGAACGATGCTGGGTCGCCCGCGGCATTCAACGTCGAACGCCGCTGGCGGGGTCGCCGCCGGTCCACGCGACACGAGCCTAGTGTACCAGAAGGAGCACCAGACAGGGAACGAGGGGCTTTCCGGACGCGGCGAGCCTCGTCCACGAAGAGGGTGCCCCGACCCAAATCGAAGGAGCGGCCCCACAAAAGCCCGAGCCCCTCCTGAGCCCAACGGGGTGCTTCTTTCCGCGTCTTGAGTGTGCGTCTCCACCGGGCTTGGCGTCCAGGGGCTCCACGGGAGCAGCGGAAGTGGCATTAAGTCGGGCGTGTCCCCCTACAGGGGGGTTTTCGACGAAAAATAAAAAATAATAAAAAAAGAAGGTAAAACATATTCAAAAAATAATCCCCAGACTGTTTTGGGATTATTTTTGACTATTTTGGGGGTATGTTTTATTTTTCGTCGAAGATCCCCCTGTAGGGGGACAGGCCCGACTTAAAAGTGGCACCTGGCGGGGGGGCCCGAGACCCCGCACGGCCCCAGTGGCTGCCCAAAGGCTGTGCCCTCCGTGGCGGCTCGGGGGAGCGCGAGCGGCGCACCGAGGAGCAGCAGCGAAGAGAAAGAAGGTTCTTCGGTTGATGATACCAGAAAGGGGCGAGGTTGATGACTAATCTAAGGCTCTTGCTTTGCACGCGCAACGAGAGGGGGGGCTCGCGGGTCGTGGCCAGGGGCGTGCGCGGACGAGAGGGTGTCCTGCACCTTCGGGGGCCTCGGCTGTTCCGTCGCGCCGCGATCCGCGTCGAGTCCGCATGGGATCCGTGTCGAGTCCATGCCGACTCCGCGTCGAGCCCGTGTCGAATCCGCGTTGAAGCCACGTCGAGTCCGCGTCGAACCCCCTCGGGGTACAAGAACATGTTGCAATTTACAGGGCAGGAGAAGTCCCCCGAAGATGCAAAGTAAGGGGGGACCATGGGACGCGTGGAAAGAAGAAGGGTCCATGAAATGAGGGTGTTCTCGAACAAAACGTCCATCGAAGACGCTCAGTAGAGAGAGCGACGTCACCCTTCGACGCCTCCGGTTTCAATGTACGCACTCGCGCGAAGTAGCTTGTTGCAAAAACAAACGCTGTGTCTAAGGAACGACTTGCATTCAACTGGGTGGACCGCCGCAAACTTCGAAATTAAGGCCCAGGACCCGGTCCCTGGCCAAATCGATCTTAGGAAGCGCGTGTTTTCGAAACAAACTCTTTATCATGGTCCCGACCATGGTATCCGTCCCCCTCGTGACACCACAACACTCTTAGATGACGCCGAGCAGAGCGATCGAGTCGCCTGCGCAGTCGACCGAGTCGAAACCTCCGTCCGAGGAGGGGCGGGGTAGCCGCCCCGATGGGGTGCGCAGTGCTCAGCGAGCCTGTCGTTGGTGCCACGTGCGGGCAGCGATCGACTCGCTGGAGTCGGAAACGGCCCTGGCTGGCGCTCCTGGGGGGGGGGGCCCTCAGCAGAAATCACTGCCACGCACTCAACACACAACACACACACACACGAGTCGCGCGCGCGTGGGAGGCGAAGCGCGTGAGTGGGTTATGCTGGCTCTCTCCCCGCAACATATTCACACAACACAAAAAAAGCCACACACGCAGACACACACAGACACACGCACACGCACGCACACGCACGCACACGCACGCACACACAAGCACACACACGCACACACGCACACACACACACACACACACACACGCACGCACGCACACCAGGCGCAACCGAGACGCAGCCTCCGTCCTCCCAGCGCCCGCGCATCTGCGGTCCACCGGCACAAGAATCCATTGGGAGCGCCCCGCGCGGGACGCCCCCCCTCCTCACTGCCGCGAGGGCGGCAGACGAGGGGGGGCCCCGAGGAGCGCCGGAGAAAGACCGGAGGGACGCTGAGGTGGACCACCTCCCCTCCCGCCTGCCTTCCCCTCCGCACCCCCTTTGTCGCCCCTTCCGCCTCATTCTCGCCCGTCCCACCTCGCCTTCCTCCTCGTCTTCCTCCGCGCTTTCGGGGGTCCGAGCGGATTTTTTGGATCGGCGCGCGCGCGCGGAACACGCCAGGGGCAGCGCTGGCGGCGCCGCCAGAAGGGGTCCAGCGCCAATCCGAGAAACCCGGGCGGACCACCGAAAGTTTCTGTTTGGTTAATCGTTTTCTTTTTCCCTACCTAGGCTCTGCCTAGAAGGGTTCTTACCCTGTATGCTTAAAGGGCCGGGCAGTGCTCCCAGCCCCGAGCGGTTCCCCCAGGATCCGCCCCGCGGTTCCCCCAAAGCCCTGGGAGCTTTAGCTTAAACTTTAGCTTTAGCTTAGTTTTAGCTTAGCTTTAGCTTAGCTTTAGCTTAGCTTTATCTTAGCTTTAGCTTAGCTTTAGCTTAGCTGTAGCTTAGCTTTAGCTTAACTTAGCTTTAACTTAGCTGTAGCTTATACTTAGCTTAGCGAGCGTTTGATTAGCTATCGCTTAGCTGTAGCTTAGCTTTAGCTTAGCTTTAGCTTAGTTTAGCTATAGTTTAGCTTTGCCTTAGCGTTATCTTAGCTTTGCCTTAGCGTTAGCTTAGCTTTAGCTTAGCTTCAGCTTAGCTTTAGCATAGTTTTACCTTAGCTTTAGCTTAGTTTTTGCTTAGCTTCAGCTTAGCTTCAGCTTACCTTTAGCTTAGCTTTACCTTAGCTTCAGCTTAGCTTTAGCTTAGTTTTAGCTTAGCTTTACTGTTACTACTAATGCTGCTTTCCTAGGGGCTCCAACTCCTAGGTAGGGTCGCACTGGGATAATTCGACCCCTGGTTGGGCCTCTCATGGCGGCAGCAACAGAAACGGATATGGCCCAGGGGGCGGGCATTACGCGCATTGCCCAGGAAACCTCGTCAAAAACATAGGCGTCGTGAAGGTTCCGGCGCTGGTTTCTGACAGCGGGTGGTTTTTGTCTTCACATGTTGTTTTTTGTTTCGATCGCCGGATCGGTCCACATTAACAAATTCTGAACCACTGGCCGCACTCGATCGTGAACGCATGCGCGGAGATCGTCGCCGCGTCGACACAACACGATCCTGCGTACCCATCGCTCCGAAAAAGAGCACCACGCAATGAAATAGGAAGGCGTTGAAAGTAAATCGGGTCCCCACCCACCTTCTGCAAAGGAGAACAAACAATGATTCGACATTTGGGATGGAAGCGCATCCGAAATCTTCTAGATACCGAAGATCTTAAATTCTGATGTCCAGCGGCCGTTGGATGATTTCCTCGGCCCACCAGAAGAGGGAGAAAAAGGAGGAGGCATAAGAGGAGGATATTGGTCAACATTTAATTGAACCGATCGCACCCGCAACAGGCCAGAGCAACGGGCGATGATTGGCTCCTCGCATATCGCAAACCGTTCAACATGAAACCCCAGATTAAACGCGCCCCCCCCCGAACGCGCCAGCGTAGGCTTGGACGTCCGATCTTCGGTCCCGTTGCAGGGGCCTTGCTCAGATCGCGCAAGCCATTTACGCTGGGGCTGGGTTTCGGGGGCGCACCGGCGAAAGAGAACAACAGCTGCCCGAAAAACGGCTTGGCGCCCGAAAGTCCGAGCCTTCAGAATGCAATCCTGGCGGAAGGGCCGCTGTCGGTCGAAGGAGAAGGAAGAGGAATCAAAATAGGTAGAAGAAGGAGGAGGGTGGGGCAAAAAGGAGGAAGAAGAAGAGGACGAGAAGGAGGTGAACAAGGAAGTCCCCACCCCCCGTCCGACGCGCACAATCTCGGCGGTCAGTGGTCCCGCTGCGGGCCACGCCATGCGCGCGCAACGAGAAGCAAAAAACAAAAAAAACTCAACGGGTACTCTGCACGAGGAACCCGCTGTCCCCAGGGGCGCGCGCTCCCATCAAAACCGGGCCATCGCGACTCGAGCGCATCGCCGCTCCTGCGCGAACGCCAGCCAACGTCGCCTCCCACCGAGCGACGAACCCAACCCACCACAGCAGCGAAGCAGAAACACAGGACGGGGCCTGCCCCGCGATGACGAGGACACCACCAAATAAAGGATCCATGAAGGGGCCCTGGGACACACATATAAACACACACACACAAATAAAAGGATGCCCAATATTCCCCATATATTCTGGCTTGTTGTCTTCCCGCCCACTTCACATATTTTCCCATAGTTGTTCTGGGGAACCGACGATTCATTGTGTCTGTGTGTTTTTTCCTTCCTGAATCCAGCGCGACACACAGGGGCCTCGAGCCACGTCGGGGACGCGGCGCGGGGAGGCGGGTAACGATCGGACGACAGCCGCGGGGCGCCGCAAACGCCTCGAACTTCGTCGGGAACCCGGCGCGGGGCGGGCGGGCTCGCAGCTCTCGGGGGCGGGGCGCTCCAGCCGCCGCGCGCCGCCTGCAAAGCGCGCGCGCGGAATGCATCCTGCCCAGGGCAGCTGGCCAGCCCAAGAGCAGCGCCGCAGCCCCTGCGCCGAAGGGCCGGCCGCCGAAGAGCGGACGAGCCAGTCAAGTGTCAGCGCAGTTCTTTTAGCTCGGACTGCGCGGCAGTCAAAACTGCGGGTGCGTCCCAGGGCCCTAGGACTAGGGCCAAAACAGCGGCGGGCAGCATGCATGCCACAAAACAAGACAAGCGCGTACAACATACACACACGGTGGCACGGGCGGCAGAGGGGCAGGGGAGTGCACTCTTCACACTGGGTGAGTACAATGCTGCCCCGATGCCGCTCCCTTCGAATGGGAAACGCTGCACGCAATTATAATGTACATCAGCCCACAGGCCGAAACATCTCAAGCAAATGCGGCCTGAGGCTCATGATAGAAATATAAAATATGAATGTCTAGATTCACTAGTCCAGACTGTCAACTCAAAGGATATGCATGAAACACCTCAAGCAAAGTGCGGCCTGAGGCTCAACATATAAATATAAGAGAATGAATGTCTGGATCCACTATTCCAGACTATCAACTCAAAGGATATGCATACATCACCGTAGCCCTCACTAAGTCCATCAGCAACTGCAATCAGGACCTCACGGGCTCGCCGGCCCTGGAACGGCGACCCGACGCTGGGCCTTCCGCTCCTTGGCTCTCTCACGCTGTCCGCGGCGCAGCCGCAGACGGTGTGCTTCCTCATCCTCTTGCTCAGCAGTAGGCACCATGCTGAACAGTCCGTGGCGGAGGAACTGCGATGGCACCTCGTTAGGCTGCACGGCCTTTGTCAGCACGTCCGCTAGCATGTGGCTAT